GCATGCAACAGACATTTTCGCAGGCACTGGCTAGTGTTAGCCAAGCATTATACAACGATATTGATGCTGACGCTGAAATGGCGGACATAGATGAGTCAACGGGAAATAATGTTGAAATACATCGTTTTCACACTGACGCAAAAGTCAAGACACCGAAACCATTAAAACCCATCCCACTGATGTTCCAACCATCGACTTATAAGTCAGTTACTCCTCAGTCTGACAATCCACACTCTGTGAAGTACCAGTCAAATGTAGCCACCCAGGTTGGCAAGTTTTCTAGGCGTTATGACAAACGTCCCATTTCTATTAAGAAAACTAAAGCGCATGGTGTCCAAGCCACAGAGACCCTACATAGCATGTGCTGGCTGCCCTGTTATCCATCATCAGCCAGTTGATCATAAGATAAGGGAAGAAAAAGTAAATAAATTAAACACTAGACCCGGAGCAAGAAATTCCTTTGATATGAAAGAGACGAAAGCACCTGTAGGCCTTCTTTCTAAGAGAAAGTCGAATATAGTAGACGAGGCTCCTAGGGGTAGGCCTAATTGGTGTCAAGTGGAGAGCCAATTTTATCGAATCTTTAATTCTAGACAAACAGCGCAGCAAGGTAGTAGGCATTATTCTGCGCATCCACCATGTAAACCCCTTGTCAACCAGCCCACTTTTAATATTCTGTCGACTGAAAGTTATAGAAAATGCCCCAAACATCGGCCACAGACCACAGTTAGCAAGCCAACAGAACCCATTCATACATCTTATGTACTTAGTGGAGAGCATGTGCCGATGTCTGCACAAAACTTGCTATGGTCTGATGAATACCAGAAACAGATACCAACACTTCATTCTTATACTGGCAACAAATTACCGAATACACATATCGGTTATACCTTAGGGCAGGATTTTCACCAGCGTCATTTAACAGAAACACATGGAATCATGCATATAGCACGCATGATATCGGATCAATTCCTTGCTGCCACAGCGAACAGTCTACAGCTAGGGCAAGGCATATTTCCCGGGAGATAGCTGACACAGTGTCGACACCAAACGCGGATACTAATACCTCTAAAATATTAATATGATAACAATAATTTTTATTTCTGTAACAGAAACCAGCCATTTTTACAGGCATGAACATATGTACACATATTAAAACTTATGGAATATATAATATGATTTGTTCATTTAGAAATAAGTTGAATACTGGTAAATGTGAGAGAAACATTTAAAATGAAGTGTACAAATAAGGAAATAGATATATATATATCTGATTATCACACAGGTGTCTCTCACTGCATAACATATTCATCCATGACTATCATCTCAAAAATCTACCTGAAGTCTTCCTACGATCCAAAGATATTGGTAAATGAGTCTGATAACATATATATAGAGGATACTCACGGATTATTTTACCAAGATGTTGTCCGCTCACTGAAACCACATGGCCAATGTTTATCTATCATCCTAGTAAATACGAGATCGGTTCTAAGCAAACACTTAGCACTAAGTACATTAGCTTCCATATGCAGACCGTCATTGACTATGATCATCGAAACCTGGTGCACAAGTGAAATCTCCAATGACAGCCTTAATGATTGAGAAAAACAACCTTTTTCGAGGTGACAGACGGACAGGTCTTGGGGGTGGAACACTAATTTACTGTGAACAATCCATGTGTGCAACCCAGTTTAGTAACCCGATTCTGTCACAACTCAATGACTCGATCTGGGTCGAAATAAAAGTTGTCAGAAGTAAACCTATACTTGTGGGTTTTGTGTACCGGCCCCCTTCATCCAGCAGGGAATATGATAATATGCTTAGCAATATCTTTAATGTTACAGCCAACCTTCCTTTCAGTTATAAAATTATCGGAGGCGATTTCAACTTGCCAGAAGTATCATGGCCTTCACTTCGAGGACCCCAAAAGTATGATAATCTCATGAATTCCATCGTCACAGGAGGGTGGACGCAACACATAAATTCACCCACTAGATCCGCAAATATCCTAGACCTTATTTTCACGAACAACATAACGCCATCTACAGTACATGTTGGACATGAATTTCCAGGTAGTGACCATAGAATAGTATTTTGTTCTTTTGACATCTTTCCTGAAACAAAACGCAGAGATGAAGCTGGCCAGATACACATGAGATTGTACACACATGCTGACTAGGACTTGTATCGGCACCTAATTAGATGTTCTAATTGGGACTCGTACTTTTCGAACCAGTCCTTAGATGCAATTCTTAACAACTTCTATCAGAATATTAACTCAATTCACGACGTCATTGCACGTGATAGGATTATATTCCGACATCGTTTAGAAGAAGTCTACGAAAGCACTCAATAAAATAACCCAGGTATCATGACTTATCGTCGCCAGATTATACAACTTAGAGAACGATGAGATCGTGGATTTCCCACGTAAAACAGACGAGTGTTTAAGTGACATAATTTTCACCACACATGAGATCGATAAAGCTGTCGCAAATCTTAAGCTTAGTAACACTACCAGTCCAGATGGTATATCTTCCATTCTACTGAAAAACGGTGGTAATGGCATGAGTTTACTCTTACTCAAGTTATACTCAATTTCATTAAGCGATGGGACATACCCTAACTGCTGGAAGAAGTCTTATACTGTACCTATCCATAAATACGGGCCCATAGCAGATATCAACAACTACCGCCCCATCAACATTACGTCTGTAGTTTCACGTGTAATGAAAAAGATAGTTAACACTCAAATCATACAGTACTTGCTGTCAAATGACCTACAATTCACATCCCAATACGGTTTCTTAAGTAGAAGGTCGTGCATTACTTGCCACTTAGATTATTTTGACTACATCACACAAAGCATTGATAATGGGCGTTCGGTAACAACATTGTTTCTCGACGTTAGCAAGGCCTCCGATATAGTCCCACATATCAGTCTCTTAACGAAACTCCAATCCTACGGAATAACTGGTAAGCTTCTCAAATGTATATGTTCTTTTCTCACAGAAAGTGTGCAATTAGTCAAAATCAACCACCAGCTCTCTTTCTCAAAGCCGATAACCAGTGGTGTAATACAAGGTAGTGTTCTTGGCCCTATTCTATTCCTCTTATTTATAAATGACATAGTCTCTGTAATGAAGTATGGCAAGCCATACCGTTTTGCAGATGATCTCAAGATAGTATATGATAATGGGTACGGTGATATGAGCGTCGAAAGCAAGATCCAACAAGACTCAAACTATCTAGGCGTTTGGAGCGCAAAGTGGCAACTTACTTGGGTTTTTTGTAAATGCGAAGACAATATTTCTATATATCTTGATGTGCTCCATTGAATGACTGGTTATCATATTGTTCCCACAAACCAAAGACAGAAACGTCAGCAACCACGTGATTTAACCATAAACCAAATTTATGAAATTTAAATAATGCTTATCCATGCCTGTACATTTGGTGTGTCCTGCACAGTAAGAAAATATGTGTATTTTATTAAAACGTTATTATTAAGTATGATTGCTAATAGTATATATAATTAATCATATTGATGATGCCTGTAAACTGGCATCCCTCATGTACAAAATGAGAGTACACTATTATTGTTAATATAATAATACTTATTAATCACGCATGTTCAATTCTTAAAATTAGATTGTTATTAAAATACTTAAAATGATTAAAATATTTATGCATCAAATGTTCTCTTGCTTTACCATGCTTGTTTCCCTTATAACACTCAATTATTGTGCCTAGTGTATTATTTGATATACGAATTATATTATTGATTATACTCTTATCATATATGGTTTGATTTACTCTACGGCTCCCTGTAGACTAACTGCCATTCTTCAGTTTACACACACTGCAGTATTGCTAACCAAATGCCAAAATTTTGTTGGTTCTGTGTTAATATCTTTTTATAATATATCTAGACACGTTACTTTGCAATGTCAGATCTTTACTATATATTAGTACACTAAGTCCTGCCAACCGACCTCACCTTCAGTTCATACTACCTACATTGAACCCTAACTATAGTGTTCTGCTGAATCTTGCTCCACTATTCACAAAACCTATTCTTTTTACTCTTTAAGTTTTTAACTTCTTACAAAGTAATCTGTTCATTAGGATGCATGCACACATATATAATATGTTTATACAGATGTACGTGGAGATCTATTGGAAGCACTCATTAAGAAAGCTGGGGAGATGGAATATCTGGTAGGAACACGTCTGGTACCAAGCAATATATTTGCGGTAGCCATAATAATCATAGTCTCAGAGCCTAACATCAAGAAAGGAGGGAGGGTGGCGCTAGCTGATCAGTAGATATGGTGGTGTTCACTAAGGTGAATCACACCATTCTGCAGGAAGAGCAATATGCAATTTGAAGGCTCGAGATATTTCTGATTTTTATGAGGGCTTAGATCTTCATCTTGAAAAAGATAATAACGAACGCCTTGACAGATCATGCTTCTACCTTTAAATATATACCATTCGCTCAGCCTATTGTTGAGATGCGACCACGTGGGATCTGCACAGATTTATGGGGCATCTTATAAATTAACTTGCTATCCATTGTCAGATCCTTAAATACCACTTCACAACGTCTTACCTCATTTATTTTCCAATAACTTCTTTACTTGATCCTCATTATATTTCATTAAACCTAACATTCTATAGCTCATTATGAATTTGATTCGACTTATTCTATTGCTAATCTCTGTAGGGTACGGTTGTGCTCCGAATATTATTAATATTGAATAGTCAGTGGCCATGAATTATAATCCATTCCTTGAAAATATTTGTAGTACAGCCATATGTGGACATGATGATAATACGAACAAGACGTGGAGCATTACACATTGCAAATGAACGTTGGCAGCCCAGGGAGTTTCCTTTTGTGAATTTCTCCCGAAAGAAATCCGAAACGATAATCCAAACTATAGATTTAACCACACGTAGAGTGACGCGTAAAGTCCAAAATACAGGATATTCTGCAATACGGTACTTTATTACATAAAAATAGATATATAATATACAAACCTCAAAATGTGAGGTGTCTGTGGCTAAATGCCGTCAAATGCACAACCACTATGCAGTCAATAAGTAAAAACAGCAATGCTGTGTCAAGGTCGATCCACGTGTCGGTTCAAACGGCCCGCGAATGCCAAGCAAAGAATAAACAAATATGAACAAACAACTTTCACTGGTAAAGCATACACTATAGGGTAAATGCAGCAAGTAATGTTTAAGGAGAAGAAAAATAAGAACTATACATTAATAGAATGATAATAGAACAAGTAATTTAACTGCAGTTGTAAGCAAATGTCATTGTAATAAATTAACATATAAAATCATACTACTTACTAATGGCAAGTAGTATAATGTTGAACAAAGAAAAGATTGAGAATGAACAGGTAGGAAAGGAATTAACACCGCCCCCTCAAAACCAGCCTGGTTTTCCCTACTCTACCTGCTAGTAAGACACAGAAATGGTACAATTTACTCTCGCCACATCTGTATCCACTATCCAGCTATATATCCTACAAAGTGCTTATCTCTCCTCAATACCTTCTAGTAGGCAAACCCTACGCACATCTCGGTTGACTATACCCCTCGGTGTCTTGATATCCACTTTTCTGATATACTCATCGCAGCTTGCCGTAACACCTGTAATTATTCCCATTGACCAACGATTGCGAGGTGAAGGCTCCGCAGCCACTAGTACTAGGTCTCCCACTTGTAAGTTTCGATGTCGTCGAACGCGATTGTAAGGTCGTCAAGTACTCCCGCTTCCACCGTCTCCAAAACGTATCAGCGAGGAGTTGCCCTTGTTTCCATCGTCTTGTGCCTCGTTTTAAAGCATAGGCTGCACAAAAAGGTGATGAGGTAGCACCGAAGGGATGTACGTTTAATTCATACAGGCTCGGTGGTAAGTCCAGTCTACCCTCAGAATACCATAAGAAACTAAAGGCACTTTTATCCTTGACAGGTAAGTGAACCTGAAGAAACATCTCCTCAATATCTGCTGACAAGGCTATCCGATGTTTTTTAAATCTCAATAGTACCCCAGCCAAGTCATTCATCAGATCAGGTCCCGAATACGGACAATCGTTCAAGGATATTCCCTTACATTTAAAGGCACAATCGAAAACCACTCTAATTTTACCAGGCTTGCGGGGATTCATAACTGGGTGGTGAGGGATAACTCTACGTTTCTTGGAGAAGTCGTCAGGAACGCGACTAATATAACCCTTCAACTCATGGTCTGTTAGTATTTGATTGTAGGACTTCAATAGGCTTTCGTCCTTTTTTAGTCTCTTCTGAAGACTGTCCAGCCTGCGTTCTGCCTCAAACTTATTAGGCGGTAATCTACGCCAGTCCTCTTTCCAAGTCAATGGAACTTCATAATGTCCGTTCCGCAATCTTATCTCCCTATCGGTTGCCTTCAGAACCCCTTTATCTATTTCAGAACTGGACCTTTCGCATGAGTGCTTGTCCTGAAATTCAGCTTCAATCATTCGCAAAGGCTTGTTCTCTACTGATTCACTTTCCTCTAAGCAGAAGATAGAGGTTGCTTCTTTATATTCGTCTCCTGAACCCAATAAATACCAACCAAAAACTGACAAAGATGCAAACGGTTGGTTGGATTTCCCTATACGCTGCTCCAGCACCCAGTGTGCTTCAGGTACATTAGTCCCAATTAGTAGACTGACCTGTTTACATTCGACGTCTAGAAAGGGAATTTCTGCCAGGTGAGGCCATTTTTTCATCTGTTCGTTTGAAGGAGTCTTAGGTCTCTTTACAGGTAAGCTTTCCACGGTAAAGGCACTCTTGACCCTCGTCTTGTAATCTCCCGTTAAGGATTCAACTTCGAAATCAACCTTAGATGAATTCTGAGAAGTAGTTCCACAGAAAGATGTTACCTGCATCAATGTATTAACCCCTTCCAGTCCTATTTGGCGGGCAACATGACTCAGCAATAGTGTAGCATCTGAACCATTGTCAAGAAAGGCATAGGTATCTAGAAATCCTTTAGGACCTAAGATACGAATCGGCACATATCCTAAAAAGGAAGTTCCGGATTCCGTGCTAGAGTAGTTGACAGTCTTGCATGCTGAATTATCTTCATTGTGTAGAAGTTTATGATGAAGTCTAGTGCATCCTACTATATCGCAACCTCTTGCTGCACGACAAGTGTCAGCTCGGTGATTACGTTTCAAACAGTTGAAGCACACCTTATGCCGCATTGACACTGCTAGTCTCTCTTTGTGACTCATCGACAAAAAGCGTTGACATTCCCATAAGTCGTGATCTGTGAAGCAAACTATACACGACTTCTGGGCTCGTGACTTCACGACATTAACACTGTGCGAAGGCATAGCTCTGGACATTTTATCGTTGGACCCTACTTCGTTGTTGTTCCTATTCCCATTAGCTATCTGGCCGTAACAGCTTGTAGCCAAGGACAGTTGCCTTTCGAGGAATTCTTTGAGGTAACGAAAGCTAGGTTCAGCAAACTGTAAACCATCGTTTACCAATTCTGCCCACTTCCATCGTAGGTGCCGAGGGAGACGTTGAACAATGCACTTAAGGTTGGTAGAGCAGTCCAAGTCTGCCATGTGATTCATCTGAGATAAGGCTATCTCACAATTGGTCATCTGTCTCAACAACCGTTGTAGCCCAACTATATCTTCAGGTTGCAGCTGTGGGCCTGACAGTAATTCGGAGAGGAAGGCATCTGAAACTGCATGAGGTTGGCCAAATTGACTTCGTAAAATCCCCATGGCTTTCCTATAGCCTACCTCAGAGGGCAGTAGAATGCAATGCTCTATGGCCTCCTTGGCTATACCAACACAATTGTGTATAAGATGCATTAACCGTAGGTTGTCATCATTAGTTTGTTCTCCTATGAACATGTTAAAGCATCTTATAAACTTCAAGAACTTAGTCGGTGTACCATCGAACTTATCCATCTCAATTTGAGGCATTCTAATGGGGCTAACTGAGTTCAGGAGTGGTTGGACTGGAGTGGCAGTACAATTTGACCCTGATAGTCGTGCTGTACAATACATGGTGCTACCGTCTAGGAGTTGGCTTTCCGAGGGATTGGCGCAAGATCGAACGCAGCTGGCTGCAGTCTTGACTTGTTGAGAGCGCTCGCTCTTCAATTTTCGTTGTTTGCTGCGAAGTCTAAGCTCTTGAACCTTAAGCTCTAGGATCTCTAATTCGGTAGCCACATCCGAATCAACATCGGAGTCTACTACTACACTACCTCCCATAGCAATATTATCAAAACCTGGGCTGACATGAGGGGTGTGTTTAAAATTATCAGAAACAGATAAGGAAACAGGTAAAGAAGAAACTTGCGGTGAAGATAAATTGACTCGAAGATATTCTTCAGCGTTTTCCAGTTTTCCAGACATATTACGAGTAACCGGCATTGATAATCGTCCAAATAGATCAACAAGACCAATTTTGAGTACTGTGAATTTCTCCCGAAAGAAATCCGAAACGATAATCCAAACTATAGATTTAACCACACGTAGAGTGACGCGTAAAGTCCAAAATACAGGATATTCTGCAATACGGTACTTTATTACATAAAAATAGATATATAATATACAAACCTCAAAATGTGAGGTGTCTGTGGCTAAATGCCGTCAAATGCACAACCACTGTGCAGTCAATAAGTAAAAACAGCAATGCTGTGTCAAGGTCGATCCACGTGTCGGTTCAAACGGCCCGCGAATGCCAAGCAAAGAATAAACAAATATGAACAAACAACTTTCACTGGTAAAGCATACACTATAGGGTAAATGCAGCAAGTAATGTTTAAGGAGAAGAAAAATAAGAACTATACATTAATAGAATGATAATAGAACAAGTAATTTAACTGCAGTTGTAAGCAAATGTCATTGTAATAAATTAACATATAAAAATCATACTACTTACTAATGGCAAGTAGTATAATGTTGAACAAAGAAAAGATTGAGAATGAACAGGTAGGAAAGGAATTAACACATTTATTAATGCATTTATTAATCATACTTGCACTTACCTATTTCATTACACTTTATTGATTCACCTTAGCACTTCAACTTTTCTAAATTAGGTTTCAAACCCTTGGAAACGTCGTACGTAAGGCGGACTGCTTAAATCATTGGGCTACCGAAATTATTTTCCTCCAAAATGCTTAATTTCATCTCGATTTATCATTGTTTTAATCGTCCAGTTATATCAAATGACCTATACATAAACTTTCGCGATGGTTTAACATGCTCCTAAGTAAACTCTGTATAATTCCTCAACGAAATGAAGGTTTACTTCAGAATATTACTTTACATGTGAATCCTGTGTGAACATTGAAGTACTTTGGAACTGAATACGCTGAAAAGTTTTGTACCGTTCATTCGCATACCATCTTAAATAAAGCTGACGAGTTCTACCGAAGTTTGATGAATTCATTAAATCCTGCTTTATTAACCTTTATTGCTTGTTTTAAATTCGTATCGGAAAATAAATGTTTATCATTATTATTATTATACTTATCTCAACATTGGTTAGTTATCGTATGCCGACAACCACGGGATGAAAACGAAACGAAGTCCATTTTCCCGCTCAACCTGGAGGACAATTGTACAATTCAATAACTATACAGCCTAGTTCAGACAATGTGTATTTATATATATATATATCAAATATTTAACTGTTGAAACATTATTAACTTGTAGACAATCTACGATTTGGTATTATATCATATCATTATATCATATCGTGCCTGCAAAATGGCATGTATTTTCATGTAAATTTATATGTTTGTATGAAAATACACATTAATTTTGTTACAAAGAAGCAACCGGTTTTCAAACTGTTTTCAAAATTTTACTCAACCTAACTATACAGTCCGCCATGCAGACAAAAATGGCGCAAATGGAGAATTCTGGAATCGACCTCGGCACCATTTGATGCAGTAAAACAAACCAACATGACCTTGCCTAGTTTTCGCCTCCACAATCAAATTTCTTTCCTCTTATGAAACTACGATAAGACTGCTGATAAATGGAATAAATATATTACTGATCTCAACATAGTACATCAATAATCTTTAAGCCAAGGGTGCTGGTCACAACAGAGTTATATAAGAGAATTGACTTCAAGTTTTATTTTTCCCAGATATCTGTATCACATTCATCTGATGTCTGGGTGTTTTGTTAATCCGAAGACAATATTTCTATATCTTTTTATGTGCTACACAAACAGACTTTATAGCAGACTGTTCCGACTGTCTCTAATGTCAGAAAGAACAGCCAAACTGTAAATCCATTATACATCAAATCATGTGTAATTTATATAACAACTTATCCATGCCTGTACTACTGGCATGTTCCTGCATGAACAGGAAGAAATATATTACTATAATCTATCAACCTGTGCTTACCTGTATCTACGAGTAGTTGGTAATGCTGTAACAGATCCATACCGATGATAACTGTGGTCACGTCCGCTACCAGAAAGACCCAGCGGAATGCTCGGCGCAAGCCGATATTCAGGTTAAGAAAGCGCCTGCCAAACGTAGCTATCGGCAAACCATTTGCGGCACGTAGTTGTAAGGACATTGGCCGCCTGCGCTCCTCTATTATGGTTGAAATTACACTGACCTCTGCTCCGGTATCAATGAGGAAGCGTATCCCCGTGTTACGTTCTGTGACATAGAAGATGCGACATGGGAGTGGTTTGCCAGCAGCGTTAGTCGCCAACACGTGCTGGCCTGCTAGTTTCCCCACTTTTGGACATCAAGGTGCACGGGCGAGTGCACTTTTGGGCTTTTTCACAATAACACCGATGATGCCAGCACACTCCAGGCTGGGGGGTTTCGAGACCTACGACGCCGACTGCTGGCATGTGACGATGATCTACTACGAGTTGAGCCTGTGCGGCTTCTTGCTCTCACCTCTTGTCTGATGCTACATATCTCTTCGTACAGTTTGGTTATATGGGCCACCGTATCGAAGCTCGATGACTCTCCAGTCCAAGATTCTTTGATCTGAGCGGGCCTATCAGTGGCCGCGGCCGAAATGCTCAGGTTGGATGCAGTAGTCTCTACTACCCTATCGGCCGCTTCGGCTAACTCTGGTAAGGAGGATTTGTGGATTGGGGCTAAAATGCCCTGAATCGCCTGTGGTAATCTTTGCAGCCGCAGTTGTTTTAGGAAGGCATCATCTACATTGAAGTCGGCGGCCAACTATCTCATCTGTCGTAACAACTGAGTGGGATTCCGGTCGCCAAGGTGAACATCACAAAAGAGTTCCTGCACTTTTGTTGATCTGTGAGTGCAACGCGCTTAATTAGCGCTTGCTTGAGCCGTTCATACAATTCAGGGGGCGGATCCACGAGGTCATCTGAAACCTCTTCCATAACGTTTTCAGGGAGACTCACAATTACCCAGTTTACTTTCGTTTCCTGTGAGTGTATATGTTTGAGAGTGAACAAAGGTTCTACATGGTTGAACCATGCAACAGGACGATTTGTCCAAAAGGTGGGAAGTTGCAAGGTTACAGCCATTTGCGAAGCACTGTTGTCAGCCATTTTGCGGACAGAAGGATATACTAACGGGGTTATACGACAAGTACACGTAAAAACGAATAAAAATTTATAACTCTATGTGAAAAATATGTACAAAAAAGGGATTCGATATGAAAAAGAACTAAAAGCATGTCAAGCTAAAATGGAGGCAAACGATGAATATACGGGCTCACCACTTGTAGGTACTATTAAGGCTTAGTGTAGACCTCAACTCTAAACATTCTTACAAAACTTCACCGTTTTACTCCCTTAGCTCTACTCTACTCAACGTGCAAATACTGACAAACTGAATCAAGGTAAAAAAAACTTGGTATGACAAGTGTATCTAGGACAATTATATTTTACAATACGAAATATGAAATTCAATAAATAAAGAGGTTGTACAACTTATCTGTTGACGTCACTGGAGGTAGGCTCAGAGACTGTGCAGAATGAAGACACAACGAGAGAGCGAACCGATGAACGTACACAAGAGTCACAACTCAAAAGATAAAAGTGTGTCAAAGATGAGTGAGCGAGTTTAAACAAAAGTACAAGGGTACATTGTGCACTACAGATGTTTGTTCATTGTTCACCAATGTACCACTAGTAGACACTATCTGCTATCGGTGCAAGTTTATTGATTTAAATAGCATGAACGTTGGCCTACCAACTGAATACCTTAAACAACTATTATTGAGATGCACACTGAATGTGCAATTTGGATTTAATGATGTCGTCTACAATCAACAGTTGGCTGTACCTTCGAAATTGGTGACATTTTTGCACGTGTTTGCTCTGAAATTTATTTACTGCTTATTGTCATATAATCCATGAAATTATGGTCCAAATATCTAAAAAACGTGTTCATAGAAACGCAATTGTTTTAGATAACGGCTGCGTTACCTCCCGGTAATACAGTATCAACTACTAGCTCTCAAAATGGTTTGAGTGCAGATCTCACTCCTGTGATACAGGTGAAGGGTGTTCTGCTACAGAACTCTGATTTCTGCAAATTAAACCTCCTTTTGAAAGATATGCAGAGGCAAGTAAGTGAACTTCAGGAAAAATTAGATCAGTTTGATAGTATGTCACTGACAATCTCAAATACCACGTAGATTCGTTCTGATATTGGCCAGGTTAAGTCTTTACTGGATGTAACTCAAAACAAGCTTTCGGATTTAGACCCAATAGCCTTTCTGTCAAAAAGCATCCTAAAATGTCTCCAGAAAACCTGAATAAGGCTGAAAATCTGATTGACTGCTTGGCTGCGGGGGTGATGAAGCGTACAATCTCTTCTCACCAAGCTATAGTTTACAACGTTCCAGATTCTCTGACTCTGAAGACTGTAAGACACAAAATCCTGATTTGTTGCGGCATGGCTAGTGTTCCATGTGAATGCAAAAGACTTCGTAAAAAGTCAAACCAGGCTAATTGTCCCATCATTTTTAAATTCAGTAATTCCCTTGATGCTAGTGTCAGCCACGTCTCATAAACCGTTAATGCCCAGCTCTTTCTACGCTCGGGCCCACGCTGTTCCTTGAAGTTTTCAGAAACGCTAAGTAATAACGGACGAAAAAATCAAAACACTGATTGGCCGCTTGAGATTTCTTTATTGTTACACCAACATATAAAAGTAATGTTTTTACTAGGGTCTGTGAATAAATATTACAATAATAAATCATTGTATGACTTCTGAATCGACCTCGGCACCATTTGATGCAGTATTACAACTTAACATGACCTTGCCTAGTTTTCGCCTCCACAATCAAATTTCTATCCTCTTATGAAACCACGATAAGACTGCTGATAAATGGAATAAATATATTACTGATCTCAACATAGTACATCAATAATCTTTAAGCCAAGGGTGCTGGTCACAACAGAGTTATATAAGAGAATTGACTTCAAGTTTTATTTTTCCCAGATATCTGTATCACATTCATCTGATGTCTGGGTGTTTTGTTAATCCGAAGACAATATTTCTATATCTTTTTATGTGCTACACAAACAGACTTTATAGCAGACTGTTCCGACTGTCTCTAATGTCAGAAAGAACAGCCAAACTGTAAATCCATTATACATCAAATCATGTGCAATTTATATAACAACTTATCCATGCCTGTACTACTGGTATGTTCCTGCATAAACAGGGAGAAATATACATTATTACAAAAGAACGAAGAGAGGTTCGAGTTCGCTACCTTGAATTACGCACGTTGATAGTAGAAAAAGTGTCGTCAGTTTTAGCAGATCGAGACTGAGCACACATAAGTGAATTAAACCTGTCAGACAACTCTCAGTAATTGTCAATGTCCAGCTCTTACTACGCTGGACCTCACGCTGTCCCTGAAACATCTTACGAGCCAGTGTGTCCTACAGATTCTAATCTTTCAGACCTTTGAATGCGCTACTCATCAAACTATCACTTAAATCTTGGCAATAATTCTTCAGCGAA